ACTGAAAGAATTATGAAAGAATTATTCTTGGCGCAAACTGAAAGAATTATTCTTGGCGTAAACTGAAAGAATTATGCCGAGCTAAAATTTTGAATTTCTCAGTAATTTTCACATGAAATTTTACAGAATGTAATATTTAGGCATAATTTGAGTCATAGAATCAAAATATGGAAAAAATTGGCATATTATTTTAGAAAAAGTCAGATTTTGTGTCAAAATACCTATATTAGAATAAAGCTGTATATAAATGAAATATATATTCTATATGAAAAAACCCGACGAGTTCGGATGAATGACTTTTGACTGTATTATGTTTTCATTGTTCTTCCAGACATTCTCTAAAAAGTAAGAAATTCATCACAAACTTTGTGTAAAACACATCTACTATGTGTTAATACCATGGCGACATTAATCATTTTGTCACATTTTTCTGGAATCTTCTTGAATCGTGGGTCTATAAATCGTGCCTCCAAATCATTCTAAACTTTCCAAGGTGAAATGTCTAAAATCCTAAAGAAAATTATCCCTACCAGTTCTGTAATAGCAAAAAGCCAGAAATATTTTGGAGAGGGGAAAAGAAAAACACAGAGGAGGAAAAGTGTAAAATTAATTTTATAGAGAAAACTGATGCACATGGGAAAAACTCTTACTAGGAAAAAATTGAAAAGAAGATATTTTTAATTAATTACATAGCTAATTTTGCTTTTGCTAAGAACTGCTTCATAAATTTTCCTTTATAGCATTACACCTTGTTTATTTTTCAAATTTAAAATATTGTATAAGTTGCCAAAACGGAACTTTATAATATGACAGCGAAAAATAAAAATGCTTTATTTTAATGTTATTTTTTAAACATAATTTCAATATATTACAATGTTTTAAAAAAATCGTCGAAAATTTCCCGGATCTAAAAAATTTTCTATAGAAACTGATCTTAAAATCGTCAAAATGTTGATAGGTCGCCAAATTAGAACTGTTTAATAAAAGAATTCACATCCCCAAAAGCAAAAAGTTGTTTAAGAGCTCTTCATTAGAAAAAATGAAATAATTTAGAAATGCTTATGTTTCACTTCTTGCTCAGAAACTCGAGTATCCCACCGTTTATACGAGGGCCATCCAGGAAGTAGATTACGTTTCCGTCTGTGTCCGCTAGGGGCGGGGCTAGCGCAGCCATCTTGGGGTCAGAGCGTTGCGCAGCTCAGTCTGCATCTAGCCGTGCTAGTGAGAGGTTCGTGCTGTGCTCCGTTCAGATACTGTGACGGTTTGAAATGTCTGCGTTAATTGAAAATCCCGCGAGCTGCGAGGTGCGCTCAGTAATAAGGTTTCTGACTGCAAAAAACTGTAAACCGATAGAAATCTATCGGCAGCTTCGTGAAGTGTATGGGGACAACATTATCACTGAAGGTGGAGTGCGTCAGTGGGTCATAAGATTTCAAAAATGGCCGAACCAATGTTCACGACGAAGATCGAAGTGGGAGACCCAGCATAGTGACCGCCGAACTTCTCGAAAAAAAAGTCGATGCTAAAGTCCGTGAAAATCGAAATTTCACAATAACGGAACTTTCTTTGAGTTTTCCACAATTTCGCGAAGTTTGTTGCACGAAAATCATCAGCGAAAAGCTTGGTTACCACAAGTTTTGTGCAAGATGGATTCCAAAAATCTTGACAGAGGACCACAAAAATCAGCGAATGGCTGCAGCGTTGAACTTTTTGGACGCTTACCATAAGGATGGTGACTCTTTACTCGATCGCATCGTTACTGGTGACGAAACATGGGTGAAACATGTGAACTGTGAAACGAAATTGCAATCAATGCAGTGGGGGCACACAAGTTCTCCCCAAAAACCCAAGAAATGCATGCAAACAATGTCGGCAAGGAAGATGATGGCGACTGTGTTTTTTGGGACAGAAAAGGTGTAATTTGGTGGACTTCCTGGAAAGAGGCCTACAATAAACTCTCAAAGGTATTGCCAAACTCTCCAAAACTCAGAAGAGCAATTCAAAACAAGCGCAGAGGAATGTTGAGCTCTAAGATCTTGTTGATTCACGACAACGCCCGGCCCCACACGGCAAATGTCACTCGTAAAGTTCTTGAATCTTTTAAGTGGGAGTTGTTTCCTCATCCGCCGTACAGTCCCGACCTGGCACCGAGCGACTTCCACCTATTCCCAGCATGAAGAAGTGGCTGGCTATGCAGCGTTTTGATGACGACGCACAGCTGCAAGAAGAGTAACGAAGTGGTTGAAGGCGCAGGCGGCCGAATTTTTCGACGAAGGAATTTCCAAGCTCGTACATCGCTACGATAAATGGCCTTAATTTGTATGGTGACTATGTAGAAAAGTAGTATTTGAGTGTGGCTTTCATCTGTATATAATAAAATTTGTTTCCTATACTTTGTTTATTTTTTTATTCCAAAACGTAATCTACTTTCTGGATAGCCCTCATATTAGAAATAGGAACAAAGTCTATGAACCCATTCATCAATTCAAAAGATAACTATATTTGTCAGTGAATCACTAAAGATATTCCTCCAAAATGCTAATTCACACTCAAAATGGCAGTTAAAAAAACAGACAGAAATTTCAGATGACTAAAATTAAGGACCTTCTGCTGATTTTGGCCAAAATTAAGGACTTTTAAGAACCAAAAATCGATTCTAAAAAACCGAAGGACTTTTAAGGACCAAAAGAACCCTCACGGTTGTTAACCGTTAAGCACGCAGAACTACGAGGTTTCCAACCCCTAAAATAGTTTTAATTCGTGGGCTGCCAAAATATGCATTTTAAATAATTAATTAAATAATGGTTTTATTTTTATTATTGATTATGTCATCTAAAATAATGAGAATAAAACAATATTCACGGCTTAAAAATTTAACCAGATAATATATTGTTAATGCTTTTGCAACAATAACCTTTGGGTAGGTGGCAGGTGCGACACCTAATAGATGATTAAATTGAAATAAAAAATACTATCGATTCTCTAAGATGACAGAATAGTTTCATGGATCCCCAGAGTCATCAAACTTAGCAAACCACTACTTGTGTAATGAATCCAAGTACAAATGACGCTAGAAAAATTAAAAAATGTACAATGTTCTAGTTTTATTAACAATACTACTAAAGAGAATTTCAGTACTCTTGAAGATTATTTGTATTGTCAAATATATTATGAAAAAGATGGGCAGTTGTTTCAACATAAAATGCTTTAAGCTGTTTGCATTTAAACTGAAAATTTGTTTATGTAAAATGGATGTATTAAAAGTCATGCACTCATTAATTTATTACAGGTGCATGGCTCTTATTGAAAAAAGACTGTCATTGAATGATTGTTTGGAATTGAACATTTCTTGCTATTTGAAACCTATTTCACCACTTTTAGAATTATGTAAATATGCAGTTGTGGCTCTCACTGACAAGTTTGGCCACGCCATAGTCTATTATATGTATCTATTATATTTATATCTTTTATACGAATAATCTGATACAATTTTGAGAATTTCAACAAGGAAAACACTTAAAAATGAAAAAAAAAAAAGGACTTATAACAGAAATAATAGTATTCTATATGAATTATAGAAAGTAGATGTAATGAATAATACCATGACTAAACACTTCAAAAAAAAAGATTAAGTATTCCCTACCTTAGTACTTGAGAAAGCAATCCTGCTATACAGCACGTAGTTAACTTTTGATTACATGGTATTACAAGCATTTTCTTTACATCTGTCCTAAAGTGGTTAAGATGGCTGAATAGTGATAGTTCAATCTCAGCTGAAATCCTGATGAACGAAATAAGCATGCTTTTTTTCAGCTAGCCCTCACATGCTTTGCATATTGAATTAAATAAACATGCAAACCCTTCTTATTAAAATGATAAAGTAATTAATTTTGCATTACATGCAACAAAGCTGATTAAAAACTAGGATACTCTCTTTAAGAATTACAGTGCTAATTAGTGCTGTGCTTTCCAGTAATATGTGAATAAACATCTCCATGTCACTGCTTGTGACACAAAATTTTTTTCAGGTATGTCTTCTTATGCAGTCATAAGCATGAAGTAAACAAAACAGATGGCATGAAATACCTAATCCATACATTTTTAGTGACTGATAATTAACATAGTTTTTATGTTGCATCTGTGAACTACACTGTCGGATTTGACCGAGTGAAATTGTGACTTAATTTCAGAAGACTTCTTTGATAAAATTCATGTGTGAAAATTTAAAAGTGAAATTAAAATCAAAAATAATATTGAACAGTAAAATGAAAAAAGAAATGTTGTCCATAAATATATTAATAATAATTAATGACAAAACTGACATTTAAAATATTCATATAATAAATATATGCAATTGATGTAATTCATATAAATATATGCTTTTAAAATTATCTAACTTTGAACATATTCGCAATTTCTGGTTTAACTTATGGGAGAGATGTGTGCCTAAGAGGAAGGATGCCTTCAAAGAGGTCTTTCCGAGAGGAACTGGTTTGAAATATGTAACCAATTCTTAATGCTTTTACATCATTAATTATGAATAATACGATAATCAATATAACGCTTCAAAAGAATATTTTAACAAACACCAAACGGTATCAGAAAGGAGATGATTCTAACACAAATACATAATTTTAAATTAATTAAAACATAATTTAAACATAATTTTTTTTTAATACGTAACATGAATCTGATGTTTTCGACTAAATGTTTCAAGATTTGAAGCTTAAAATCAGCTTTAATATTCATAATTAATGATGTACTCTATACTGCACAATTTTACGACTGAAAAAGAATATAATAAATCGCAAGCAAAATGTACTGCTTAACAGTAAAGAAGATCGAATAACTAGCAGAAAAAGAGGTCTATTTTATATGTCTTTAACCACGACTTTTAAATGAATGAAACATCCAACATGAGATGCCAGTTTTTCGTCGCAGAACATTACTAAAATTAAACTATATACTTAAGTTGCCTTTAATAAATTCATATAACATACCTTATTTTTGTCCGGATGATATTTTAAAGCAAGTTTTTTAAATGCCTTACGAATTTCCCGGCTATCAGCATCTTTAGAAATACCAAGTAAATCATAATAATCAACAGAAATAACGCTGCACGCAATAAATATTACATAAAACACAAACAAATATATATTCCTCACTAGCATATTTTAAGTAAAATAAAGAAATGCAATATACGTATAAGAGGTTTCAAATGACAATTGTCAAGAGCGCATCACCGGCATCGTACATTCTAACTCCCTACTTTCGAAATTCCCTTCAAGTTAGCACGGCCGAACAATAACACAGTTCATCCGATTACCAGAAGAGCTACACGACAATTATCGTTAGGTGGCGCTTCAACTCTACCCTTCCGCTAAAGTTTTACAACTGTAAATGAGAGTACATTGAAAATAAATATTTGTTGTTTGTAACTTTGTTTCAAGATGCTCCATTGTTAAGAATCAGAAAAGGAAAATAAATACCACAGCTCATGAATTTTCATGTGAAGAAAAAAAGAAACAGATTGACAGAAAGCATACATCTAAAAACTGAAAATCCATTTTTAGTTAAAATAATTGGACTACTATTCATTATGCCGATGGAAATGGATGCAAATTGACTATCATGTATGCTAGATTAATATGCAACTCTCTAAATAGTAACCATTAAAAATGCCATTAAAGTTATTCTGAAAATGTGTATGATACTTTATAAAGTTATACAAGGGAAACAAAAATGTTAAATAACTTTAACAATAGAAACAAAATGAAAACATTATAATTAAATGATTATTTATTTGCCAAAGGGGAACTGATTTTTCAAGGAAAAATAATTTTCCTATAGCAGATGTACGATAATTTGGGGATTATCTCGTTTTGTCCCAAACGATCCTTCAATACAAATCAATAAATTACTTTTGCTATACATAAAAACAAATATATGTACATAAAGAGCTCTCCAATATTTTTCCCCTGCGGATATGTCAACTATAAGGCAATTGTTTTGGATCTATTATTCTATAACGAAAGTTTTCATTAGAAAAAAATCTGAAAAATATAAGCTATTGTTGAAACGAATAAAGAAATCTGAAGTAAACACATGTAAAGAATTTATGTGGGCTTTTTTGCATGGCTAATTCAGTCTGAAGATTTTTTTCCATCGCAACAACACGTCGGAATGCTCTTGAACTCTCAACTAGAGAGACTCTCGTGGGTAGGATTTTCTTTACATTTTCTTTACATCTGTCCTAAAGTGTGTCACGAGTGTAAAGTGTATCCTAAAGTGTGTTCTTTACATCTGTCCTAAAGTGTGTCTCATGTCACGAGGACTATACTTCACTTCAATAACTATTCTATGCTATCCATGAATTATATCTCGTAATTGTAATAAATATATTTTGAGTTCAATAAGGCAGTAAGTATTTTGCAAACTCACAAATGTACTAATCATTGATTCACCTCCTAAAATCTAATACTTCTACCATTGTCGGAGAGGACTTTAACGCCAAACACCCCTGCTGGAACCGGCGACCTGCTAATAGGAAAGGAAATGACATATTCAACCTCATTCAAGCAAATAATTATAATATGCATGCTCCAGAAGAGCCCACCCATTACGAGTACAATAGCGCCAGCACATTTGACTTCTTCATCTCAAATAACATTAATAACAGATGCAATATTTCTGCAATCCCAGCCCTCTCTTGCGACCACAATCTCACTTATCCCCATTAATAAATGCCCCCCTCACTAGACAGAAGTATTGGAGTTACAAATTGGATGCATTAAGGGAAGCCACCGATACTTTTCACGTGTACAAGCCTTTCCTCCCCCTGCCTGCCGATATAAGAAATAGTATTAGAAAGAAAAACCGACTCCGTTAAAGATGACAAACCACTAGGGATCCACAACTCAAACGTGAATTTAAACTCAATACAAAAAGAAGTCAACAGAAGCATCAAGAACTTCAAAAACCAAAACCACTTTCCTAAATAACCGGGTTACAGAGGATAATTTCCTATTTGACATTTCCTGCAAATTCAAGAAACCATATAAACCAATCCCACCTATCCATGGACCTTGTGGAATTTCATATACAGAAGAAGATAAAGCTAAATCTTTTGCGGACTATATGGAGGATACATTCACTCTTAATCCCACTCCGTACGACAATAACCACATTCAACGGATCAGCCTGGTGGTCAATAACTTCCTTAATAACCCTGCTCCGTGCAACTCTCTCCTGATAACCCCAGCAATCGTAGACAACATCATCAGCTCCTTACAGACGAAGAAAGCCCCAGGGAACGATAGCATCTCGACCAAAGCACTGAAACATTTCCCCATCAACGCTACCACCTGCGTAACATTATCAAATTCGCTCATTTTCCTAACGTGGAATTCACGTGGAATTCCGTGAATAACGTGAAATTCCTTCCGTGGAAGCAAGCTATAATAACAGTTTTTGCTAAACCGCAACAAAATACCACCTTCCCTCAGAACTATCGCCCTGTCAGTTTACTGAGCCATCTTTCTAAAGTTACAGAGAAAATTCTACTTTTCCACATCCAAAGAATTCACCCTTCCAGGAGTTTTCTCCCAGAAAAACAATTCGGATTTAGCAAACATCATAGAACTTGCCACCAACTTCTAAGAGTTATCAACATTATCACACAACTGCAAGCTTCCGACCAGTGCCATATTCCTCGATATTGCGAAGGCTTTTGACAGGGTATGACATCGCGGCCTCATTTACAAATTAATTACACTCAATTTTCCAAATCATTGTATTCTCTTAATTGCCTCTTTTCTCAGCAACAGAACATTCAGAATCAAAATTGGAGCTGCATACTCAACCACCAGAGTAATCAAAGCCGGTGTTCCACAGGGGTCGTCACTTTAGCCGTATCTTTTTTATATTTATACGCAAGACATCCCTAAAGACCCTTCTGTTCATCTTGCACTTTTTGCCGATGACACCGCCATACTTACTAAAGCCTGCACAGCAATCGCAGTAAGAAACCAACTCCAAAACTATCACATAAAACTGGAAAAATGGCTCACCCTTTGGAGGATTAAAATTAACACTAATAAAAACAAGGCAGAAATTTTCCATAAGGGAAACATAAACTATTACCCTCCACCCCCTGAAATATTTGACGAAGAAATAGATTGGATTGATGAAACCAAATACCTTCGAGTCCCCCCCCCTGGATCAAAAACTGACCTTCAGAACCCACTTTAACTCGGTAGCACAAAAATTTTAAATCACCTCAGCTACTATAAGACCTCATTCTTCTTGGTAGAAGAAGCAACTTATCTACAACAAACAAATTAATTTTATATCGCTCCATACTTCGTCCAGCCCTCCTTTATGTAGCTCCGATCTGGGGACATGCAGCTAAAACCAATATTAAACAATTCCAAGTACTACAAAATAAAATCTTACGAGAAATTATCAATGTTTCTTGGTATATTCCAAACACTTACATTCACAGAGGCCTTGAAATAGAACCTATACAAGACTATTAAACGCTTAGAGGTCAACTTCTTTCACCCAGTATAATCCCACAGTAATAGCCTTATTAGCACTCTCGGACACTCCCCGCACACCCCAGGGAAAAACATCGCTATCCCTTGACATCATACTCACATAACAAATAAAACCAAAATTGATTCATTCACGTTTAATTGACTTTGCAGTTTCACCCGCTGCTTCATCTTGTAACGTCACTGACCCACCAACTTCGTCGCCACAAGCGCGGACCAGATCCTCTCAAAACCCACTCTTACACCTTCTACTACACTGTTCTTGTTTCTTTTTTCCCTAGATTGCTTTTCAGAAGCCGAGTAAAAAGTTGTTTCTACATCTTGACACTCGAGAATAAAATACGATCTTCATCTTCATCAGGAGTCAGAAGCATTATCTGCCGCCAGCCACCCACAAGTGCTTTTCTTTGGCATCGGAGCAATTTTCGAGGACTACTATTTTTTCTTCTCGCTATGACGGCATCTAAATGAACTCAGTCCATCAGTGTTTTAAACTGGAAAGGAATTTACCGTTCTTTTAAACCCTCTTTATACAGAAAAGAGTATAATAAATCACAATCAAAATGTACTGCTTAACAGTAAAGAAGGTCGAATTAGTCAGCGTTGATGAAGAATGATGCTGAATTACAAAAGATGAAGGTACTTCAAAAAGAATATATTTTATATTAATGTCAAAATTCGATCTAAAAATTATCCCACAGCTAATAATAGCTCTTACAGTCTTTGAAAGCAAAAGTGAATTGAAATTTTGCTAAATTTTCCTAATAAGCAGTTTTCATATTAGGACATCTTCATAAAAAGGCGCCGAAGTGAGGTGAAATTTGAAAAATAAAAACGAATTTTCATGTAAGTGATTATGTGGAATGTGAATGAATATATTATAATAAACTCTACTATTTGACAGCTGAATGAAACAGGATAACAAAGAGAACGTATTACATTACAATTTAGTATTGTATAATAAATCATAACTCGTTAAATTTACCAAAATATAAGAAAAACGGAATTTCAATTAAATGAAAAAATAAAATTACCAATATCACTTATTTGCATATTATTTTTTTAAAAAAATCGATTTAGCTAATTTTTTCCAAGTTAATTTTGGTGTAGTATGGAGGAGATTCAATAGATGGCACTATAAATTAGATTTTCATAGTTTCGCTTAGAAACTTTCAGAATACAGAGGTTCTTGGTTTCCTATACGTGACTGTAATAATGATTTGAAGCGGATAGTATATGTAAATTTGAAGCGGATAGACGACGCTTCAAATTCGTCTGCGATGTTGATTAGACCTGAGGTGAAATTTGTTTCTACCAGCGATCCTAAACTTGCGACCCGCGAATACATTTTCAGTAAACTAATTAGCATTGTTTTGATAATAATTTGAAGGAAGGTTTAAAATCCTGAGGATTTAATACACATCAGTAGCACACCAGACAATCTGTAAATAGAGCTTTAATATACTGTATGCTATAAATCTTATTCAGAGATTCCAAAACACAGATTTGATTAATTTTTGTTCGTGCATGTCAAAAAATTAGTATCCTCAAGTATGAATTTTTAAAATAAGAAAAATCACTTTGTTTGGAAGTATATTTAAAAGTGAACAGTTTTTCGCTGGTTGAGAATAATTTAGCCTAGCGAACGAAATACGAATGATCGATGAATATCTGCAGTACATGATGAAGTTAGTTTCTAGTACTTTTTCTGCAAGGCTACACACTTTATC